CCCCAAAACCCCAAAACCCCAAAACCCCTATGGCTTAATTCACTATATGATAATGAAAAATCTGAGAAACTATTAAATCCTTGATTAAATCTTAAAATTGAAAGGAATTCAATCTGCAATCAAATTCAGAAATGAATACCACAGTTAACTAATTTTTTTGCAAGCAATAGCTCATGATATTTCCAATAAATCAATCAGTACTTGGAAATAATCCCATTGGACTCATCTCTATGCTATGCTAAGTCAACTTTTTGTATGATGGAAGCTCCTTAAACTTGGCTCTCTAATCAGTTAAATCTAAATATGATCCTCCATCGTTTTTACCCCCAAGAACAAAGAGTTTACTGTCTGTAACAAAGATATTATGTCTGATTCTTCTCATATTAAGCAATGCCTTTTCCTTTTAATCAATGAGTTGCAGCTTTTTGTCAACGTTAAACCTGTAAATAGAAGTCTTATCATTATTTTTGAAGTCCTGAACAATACCTAAGACCAAGACTTAATTGTACTACTCAAATTTAAATGAAACAGCACCAATGAAGCAGAATGCCTTAGGAAGAACACAAGAATGATAATCCCATTTTCTGAGATTTGTGTTATAGTATTCTATTCTAGTACTAAATTCAGACATTCCTCCAGATCCAAATACATATATGAAGACATCATGAATCACCTAAGAGTTAGACATTTATTAAGAATATTAAATCTTACAACTGCTCCAAAGTTTTTTCTTACAGTAGCCATGCTTGGAACTTTTTGCCAGTAATTATTATGAAGCTCAAGATTTCCCTATAATGGCTAGAGTTCTTCAACAGATTTAAGATTATCTCCACCTATAGCGTAGAAACTGTTATTACAATAGATTAACTGATGATTCTACCTCTCTTGATTCATTTGATAGTCCAGCATTTCAACTTAAGTGCTATTTGTTTACTAATCGAATTTCACAAGAACGCATACATTTTAATTTTAACCACCAGTAATAAGCATTTCATTTGGCTTCTTTGGATAAATACAACAAGCACTATTAGATTTAATTAAACCAGATCTGAATCTCTCTCTGCTATAATTGCTTGACCAGTTACTAATGGACCAAGGATTTGAATCTATTTTTCTTGGATTAAATTAGAGTACTTATTGATCATCATTACCAATGATAAATTTAGCTGAAATAGAATTATCAAATCTTTTTCTTTATTGGATTCTCTCTTGGCCTACTTCATTGAGATTATCAAACATAAGTCGTGTTCTTAATGGTACTTCCTCTGTATCCTGATTTCGGTTCAGAGGTACTTTCTCCTCTTCTAGATCCTAAATATTCTAGATTCTACGACCTCTCTAAACTGACCTTGACTATGATCTTTATTATTTTTATTTTGAAATAGGCTAACTCAATGACCCAAAATTTTAAATAGAGTTTGTTTATACTTGAGTGGATTATTAATTATTAATAAGAGGAGTTTTCTTTGGAGTATTTATCAAAGAATTACTTCTGTTTTAATGTCTATGTAATCCAGCTTATTGCAATGCCCTTTGAGTTTTATTATACACCTAATCCTGCAACTATTCAGCATTTTAATTTTCAGTCACTGCTGTAGAATCTGTCATTATTCTAGTCTTAGCTAGATTTTAAGAATAAATCTATTTGCTTGCTGATTTCCCATTTTTTAAAGCAGAATTCATATCCTCTTTTTCCCTTTAAGATTCTTAGACCTCATTTATATTCTATTAAGCATCCTGCTGAATTTTTTCTTCCTCATATAGAGACTCTTAAATAGGGCTGCTTCTGGTTTTCCTTTTCAAATTTTATCTATCATTATCAATTTAAAATTTTGTCTATTTTGATGAACTAGATTTATTTGGTCTGTTAACAGAGCATTCTATATTCCAAATTTTCTGACCTTTCTGATTGGCAATTTGCACAATTTCTTCTTCTTGATTAGATTTGTTTAAATTTTTATCTTAGTTTAAAAGTCTTTAAGGTGTTTAATTTTCTATTAATGACTCTTTCTTTTCTTTTCTTTACATTTTTTCCTGCTACTTTTGATCCCTCTTTTTTCCCTTAGAACTTTAGCCTCTACCTTTTTGTGTAGACCTCATATTTCTAATTTCAGAGTCTTTATTAATTTATATTTCCGATTAATCCTAATTTTCTCTTGTCTTTTTGATATTGAAGAATCCTTTTTAAATCATTTCACTGAGCAAACTTGTATCATAATTAGATTTAAGTGAGTTTTCAATTGTAGTCATTATATTATCAAAAGATTTCCCATCAGGATATTGTCTTATCATATCTTTTGCCTGTGATAGCTTAGCTAAATCTAGCTCTTCTTCTGCACCATCAAATATCTAACTTATCTTTTATTTTTCCTAGAGAGTTTCAATCTCTTCCAAGATTATTTTAGCGTCAAAAAGATATTAGTTTTAAGATACGATCTAATGAATCCTTTGCTCCAACTATCTTTAGAGAGTTTTCTAATTTTCAGACTTATATATGATTTATTGCTTCTATGTTTATAGCATCTAAGCCATTTTATCTGATTTGAATATTATCTATTCTTATGTCTATTCAAAAAATTTTTTGATCATCTTTATCACTTATTTGCGATTCTTATTAAGAGCACAAACTGCTCCCTCACTTGTTGCTATTATGTCTTTCTGTTCTAGCTAAATGTTTTTCATCTCTTGCATTAAATCTGTATGAGTCTTTTCAGATTGGTAAAGAAGTGATGCCAATTGTTGATTAATGATTGATAAGCCCTCTTAAACGTCGACTATTTAATGCTTTGATCTCTATGCAAAAACTTTAGGAAAAAATTATACCATTTATGCCTCTTTAGCTATATATTTTCTAGTAGAAGGTCTTCTTTTGTTCTTTTTCAAGCCTGACTCTTCTAGAATTTATTTATCAACTTCTACACAATTATATTATCTTGAGTTAGTTCATTACCTTAGTGTTAATCTTAGCATGCCTAGCATAAAAATTCATTGCAGATTTTACAGTAGAATTTCACTGATAAATGAGAGTTTAGCAATGTTGATTTTGAGCATTTGATCTGATTAAGAGAAAATTTAGAATTATATTAGACCTAGTCCACATTAGGGATCAACATAAAAAGAGTTGGAAAGTCATTTATGTTTTAGTTGTCTACACCTTTTTTGCAAGTTGGACATTACCTACATCAGCAAATAATTTTCAGTGGTATAAACTTACTTTTGTAAGGATCCTAATATAGTCTGCAAGCAATTAAGGCACATAGCATGCCCGCACTGGAGTACCTTAGGGATATGATCACCTGAGTTGAATGCATTGCAGCATATCGAGCATTGTAACAGTTCGTGAACTTATTGGTTATTGTTCATGTTCATCTATTGGGAATGTTAAGAGATTTTCAACAAACTAACATTTACGAGGCGCGAAATTAATTACTAAAATTTCTAAAACAAATTCAAATTTAATATTTTCAAACAACTATCTCTCACATTTAAATTTTACAGTTCCCTCTATTCAATAAAAGGAAAATTTACCTCAATGGGGTTTTGGGGTTTTGGGGTTTTG